CGAAAAACCAAAAAAAAAAAAAAATAAATAAAAAAAAAAAAATAAAGAGCCATGATGCGTACTTTCCCATAGGCACAGCATTTGGTTTCTGCTAAATGTATTTTTGGGGGGGAGAAGTTATTTGGAGAAAATCACTAGGCAAGAGGAAGAAATGTCTTTGTGTCCTCATTTAGTATTTCATGTTTTTTTTCAATTAATTAAACTTTCCTTCGCCTGTGGCAACAGGTTAAAATATTTATAGAAAATTTAAAATATTTAAATAAAATAAGACAATTAAAAATAGATATAACTCCTCTATTCCAAAATAACCCCTCTCTGACTTCTGATATTCTGTACACTATGATGAGAACTTTGAAGAGTCCCTTGTCTGCCTCTCAGGTCCCTATTTGCTGTCACAGTCATTTTGCAGGACAGAACCGAATAGGAAACAGTTTATAGGACTTCTCCAATGGTAGCATGAGGGTCCCCCTGCACCAAAGGAAATGTGGGAAATTGTGAGCGTAGTTTATAGTTAGAAGAATTTACTCATTTTCTTCTATCAGATTCGGCCAGTTCTGAAAGGCGGAGAGTCCCACGCACAGACCTTTCACGGCTGCCCTGCAGACACAGGTGCAGGTTTGAACCCTCCTCCTCCATAGCAAGTGCTGAGCTTGGGTTACTTGAGAAGCTCCTTGGTCCTTTAGACTAATAAGACATACAGCATACAGGTAGCTGCAAGTTTCATCTCCCTCCTGACGTTCAGAACTGAGGTACACCCTATCCTACTGTTTCAGTGGTTTTATGACTCAGGGCCCCTCTGAGTTGGTGCAGTGGACAGATGTCCCCAGCACCACATAAACAGGAGGGAGGGGACAGTAACTACAAAGGCCAGAGCTTCATGCATCCATGAAGCACTGTCTTGCCTGATAAAATGCCCTCAAACGATGGCCTAGCTATTGTATTGCTTCGGCAAGAAGTAAACAGGCTGAATTGGTAAACTGAAGACAAGCAAGCTGGTAATTTGAGGCTGCATTTTACCCAACCTGTGCTATCATAAAAGCGGCATAGAGATACTTTTGAGTAACATAGAAAAGCCAGGTCACCTAGAGACGCAGCTCTGCGATAGACTGTCTGCCTAGAATTCAGCAGGAAGGGACCGAAGGTGTGACTCTATCATACACTGGGTTCAGTCTAGTACGACAAAATAAATAAATACATAAATAAATAAATACATAAATGCAAAAATAAGTATAAAATTTAAGAAATAATCAGTGAAAAAAACAGCTTACATATATGGATGAATATCATCAAAAGTTATAATAGCCAAAAAAAGAAAGAATATCGTTCAGTAATGTAATATTCACATTCTAATACCATGCAGTGAGGGCTGCTTTTAAAACCTAAGCAACTAAAATATATGGCAAATGCCATGTGAAATGCAGGGCAAAATACGCCCAATTTTAAATATTTAAAAATGATACCAAGATTTTGGCAGTTTTCAACAGCTGCCGTTTCACAAGTCGGGGCCCAGCACGCGATGCCCAGGGAAAGGTGGGACAGACCGTTCTTCGGCAGAGAAACAGTCAGTGCTTCTGGCCCTGTTTCGGGTCTAGAACAGTTAGTGTTTCCGGCCATGCTTCCGGCCGAGGAGCCGACCGTGCTTCCTTCCGGCTGAGGATCGCAGGCCTCGTTTCCGGCCGCGCTTCCACAGAGAAACAGTCGGTATTTCCGGCAGCGATTCCGGCCGCGCTTTCTTCAGGCCGAGTTTCCACAGAGGAGCAGTAGGCGTTTGAAGAGCAGCATTTCCGGCCGAGCTTCCGGCCCACTTGCCTCCGCGGAGCAGCGTTTCCTACCTAGGCAGGCAGCGGCGTTGAGGATGGCGAACCGGCAGTATTTCCCAGTGAGGTACGGCAGTAGATCCGGTGTGCATCCTAACAGGACAGAGTTTCTCGTCCTTTGTAATAGACTGTGAGCCAACACCTATCCATGGAGTCACCATATGTTTTTCCCATTTTTCTTGGGATCTTATTTTTTTTAATGCTTCCCATAAATCAGAATTAGAATGGTCAATAAGCCCTCCTGAAATTAAGGAAGTTTTAAAATAGATTTACTGTTCGAAAACGATGCTGGTGTGGGGATGACTGCAAGCACTTTTAACAATATTTTACCTTAGAAAAATGTGAATCAAGCCTGGCGGTGGTGGCGCACGCCTTTAATCCCAGCACTCAGGAGGCAGAGGTAGGTGGATCTCTGAGTTCGAGGCCAGCCTGGTCTACAAGAGCTAGTTCCAGGACAGGAACCAAAAAGCTACCAAGAAACCCTGTCTCAAAAATCAAAAAAAAAAAAAATTGTGAATCAGTGGATGATAAGACTTGAGATTGACAGGCGTAAACACCTATCCATTCATATCTATGCTATAGAATAGACATTGGTTAAAGAGTAGAAGGGGACCTTTTATGTCATAAGTGATTTCCACTTAACGAAATAGATAGAACAAAGAATAAAGGAATAAGAATCAAAAATTCATCCATTTTAATATTTTATCCTAAAGTCTAAAATAAAGGACTACTAGATAAAAAAAATTGAAAGATCATGAATATTTGATCAAAGGTTTTCCTACAGCTCCGTTTTAATAGCCAACTAAATAAATTCTGTCCAATTCTGTCTCATTCTATGTCCCTAAGTGTTTTCATTTCCTGCGTTTGGAGGAAAACTTCACAGGAGTCAGGGTCAGTTTGTCTGATTCCATTCCCCTTTTTGACCTCCACAGATGCAGTGCCTCCCCTTCGTGTATCTTTTCCATCACCCCTCTTCCTGAGAGTGAGAGAAAATGATAAAACACATTTTAAACATTTCATTTCTCCTTCTTATTTCCAGTATTGACTTTTAGGCAGATACTTTATTTGTGATGTATAACTAAGTAAGACTGTCTTTTTTGGGGGGGGGAGGGAGGGGGGTTAAGTCATAATTTGTAAAAAGGTCCCGAATCATGAAGGAAGTCATATGTACTAGGATAGGTGTGAATCATGTTGCATGCACAGCCGTGAGAAAGCAAGTCGTTGTTTGTTGTCTGTTTCATTTCCAGGCCAATGTGCTTTGTCAAGCAACTTGAGATTCCTCAGTATGGCTACAGAAACAATGTCCCCACAACAACACCGCGCTCCAACCTGGCCAAGGAGCTTGAGAAATATTCCAAGACTTCGTTTGAGTACAACAGTTACGACAACCATACTTATGGCAAAAGAGCCATAGCTCCCAAGGTGCAAACCAGGGACATATCCCCCAAAGGATATGACGATGGTAGGAGGTGCACACTCTTATACATGAGAGACACGTTGCCATTAATGATGTTGTTGTTGTGTGTATCCATGTCCTGCAGATCAGCCAGGGTTCATGCTTACCCAGTGGGGGCCAGGGGCACAGCACACACGGCACAGCCCTGTGCTGAAAGCCGCTAGGCCCAGGAGGGGCAGGTGGGCACACCTGTGGGTAGGAGGGGCACAGTTTTCTGCAGTGACTCTAAGGCCCTGGCCTCTGGCTATTTATATGCTTTAGAGAACAAGGCCCTAGGCTCTCTGTGTTTTGAGGTGTGGCTGAGCTGGTACATTTATTCAAAAAGCCTTTTTAAAGGCAAATACCCAAGACAAATTTCATTGGAAGAAACAAGTTGAACTCTTTTAAGAAGCTCCACATTAACAGGGCTTTTCAAAGGTACACATGAGAAGCCTCTGAGGAGAGGTCCTTTCTCAAAGTCTATGCACAGGCTGTACCCTAGACCAGTGAAGGCGGAGTCCCTGGGATCCTCTGTATATTAGTATTTCTTAAAAGATATGCAGGGCTCTTGATACACAGGCATAACTATAACTTCCACCCAGCCAGCTCTATGAGTTCCAGGCCCGAGTTCCTTCTCTATCTGAATATTGAAGAGGAAGGCCAGCTTCAATGCGGACACTTGCCCTGAGCCTTAGAATCACTGCCTTTTTAGAGCTGATGGCACACATTACTTACAAGACAGCTGATGATGTCAGAGTCTTGCTTGATACCTTCCTGCAGATGGAGGAAGAGAGGTTTTTAAGGAATCAGGGCCCTCTCTGAAAAAAAGAGTCTGGGGATTTAGAAACTTGTTAATAGTTCAACATGAGCTGCTACATATATTTCTAAGCTGTGTACTTTTCTTACAGAGAAAACAAGTAATTTGTTTAGTGAATGAAATTTAATATTTCTTTGACATATCATATTGATTATCCATGGGTATCAGTTCTGTAATACTCAAACAGAAATACACATAGAACAAAGGTAGGGCAGCCGGTGTCATAGAAATAATTATTTTCAGGGTTTTTTTTTTTTGTCTCTTTGGTAATAATTACTTGTTGGTTTCAAGTCCGGTAATTCATTCATACACTCAGTTGCAAATGAAGGACCAGAAGAAGTTTATGTTTACACAGATGTGAATGGAGTTGATAGCCTTTCCAATCCTCTGACATCACATGATTCAGTTAATCTTGGTGTCAGATGATCAGTTTCACACGCTTACTCCAAGGCTGTGGCATGTGCTCTGTCACACCGCTGGACAAGACTTTCTCTTTTCAGCTTACTGACTTTATCCTGGGCGCACAGGTAGGGTCATGGCATGTCATGATGTCTTTAGAGCCATACACCCTTTCCTGGTCTGTAAGTGATTCTGCTTGGGCTATGGCTTTGCACTTTATGAGCTACAGGGTCCTGGATCATAGAACCTTCTAGTGTTTTCACTTTCTTGAGAGTAGAGGGGGACCAAAACACTGAGAGTCCCTGCTCAAGGCCACTGTGATGAGCAGTGGTGATGAGGTGGTTTGTGTATGCTCTTTTTCCCATCATGAAGACTGGAGTGAGCAAATTTATTGGGCCTGATTCTCTCAAGTCTATATAGATATCTATCTTCAAACTTGAAATGAGTTACGCTTTCTATCGATCCACCAGAAAAGACCAATCTATTGAGCATGCTCAGTTAAACCTCTGCATTAGATCAGAAACCCAAGAAAAGGAAGAGCAGCCTTCCACCACAGCTTTCTGGGGAAACAAATAAAAGCTCTAGTTCTCTCCCACTGTCTTTGCTAACAGACAGTTATATCTGAAAAGGGCCTGCCCTGGATGAAATTTTTGAGTCACAAGGCTGTGTAGGAGACCCCACCTAGGAAAGCCATCCCTGTGCCTGGGCACCAAGAGGTAGACCATGGCAGCGCCCCTGTTTGCCTCAGACTTCTTTTAGGCACAAAAAAAATATATCTCCTGCTCTTGGAAAAATGAGAGATTTCTTGCCTATAAATCTTGGCCTGACCTAGAATTTATAGATCTCAAGGACTGGGAACACTGGAGGTGCAGAGTAGTACCACTAAGGCATGAGGCCTAGATGTCAACACTTTACCTGCCTCGCCTCCTGTGCAGCCGGCAAACCTGCCATCAGTCACTTGCTTCTCCCAGACACCTCACCAGTGGACAGTCTATTTGGTCTGTCCTTCTGGGAGGAAAGGTCCAGAGGCGAGATGGAAAACACAGGTGTGTGACGTGTATAGGGAATCAGGGTCCACTGTGTCTGAAGGGCTGGATGAAAGCCCCCAAAGGGCAGATGGTGTGCTTGTGCCCAGAACTGGAGTAGGCTTGTTAAATGGGGATACTCATGGTTTGGAAGCACACAGTGGCCTGAGGAGGCGGGAGGAAGAACAAGGTGCAGCTGTGGGGGCTAAGGAAACAGTCTCATTCTCTGTCACAGTGGGGATTGGGACACCTCCCATAGGAAGAGGATGTGTACAAGGTGAGACAGGAGGGGAGGGGAGAGGGTAGTGCAGTCCATGAGTGTGAAGTCTGCATCTCCCTCCCCTATGGAGCACTAAGAATGGCTCTTATGTCTTTAAATTTTAACAAGAAAGTCAAAAGAAGAGAGTCTTGTTATATGTAAATTATATGCAATTTTAAATTCCCTGTCTGTGCTTATGAGCCCATGGTCACTTTCCATCTCACCTGTGGTCTAGCCTGTTGTCTAGGTTGGTAGCACAGCCCAGGACTTAACACCTGGACCTCATAGCCTCAAAGTTTTGCCACCAGGCCATTTTTAGGACAGGTTGATGCCCCGAGTGTTTCATCTTTGGGCTCAATTTATAACCTTAGGTTTGCTGTAACTGGTTATATCCCAGGGCTGCCATGGCTCCCACTCCCGCCTCTTCCCTGAGACTGTCCCCCCTTCCAAAGTCTTCAAACTTCTGTTTATCTGTGAGACTTTTCCGTGTCTTCCACCAATGCCAGTACACCTTCTATGCCAGCCCTCCCCCTTTGACCAGACTCCTGCAACAGGCAACTGGCTCATCAGCCTAGGTTCTCCCCATTAACCCTTTGTAGCACGGGTTTCTCTGTCTGCCACAGCCATGCCTAGGCCTTGCTTCTCTTCTGCTTCCTGAAAAAGCTTTCTCTTGAGCCTTTTCTGTTAGATTCTTTATGCAGCACCCAGTGTCTGGCTTAATTTGATGGCTGCCTTCCAGTCTATTACAGCAGCCGCCCATGTCCTTTCCAGACCTGCCTGCAGTGGAGCTCTGCGTCCCATGCCTGGGTCAGTTCACCAAGGAGCTTACCAGTATGTTAGCTCTTTATCAGTATGACCAAGTTACTGGTCCTCAGAGTCTTCAGCCCTTACCATGGGAGTGGGCTACGAAGACAATGGCTCTGACAGAGCTGGTAATCAGGCCCTCCTTAGGTCTGGTCCCCCATGTATCCTCTTTTCCATGGAGGATTCTGCATCCTCATCTCTGCCTGTTTGTAGTGCACAACATAGAAATTAAGGGTTCAGGGAGCCATTTCCCCTTCTGAAAGCCCCTATATTCCTGTCTGTCTGCTTTCCCCGAAAACTTATGATGTCATGTGTCTGTTCCCTGAAGGAAACTGAAAATGCAAAATATATGGGTACCATCCAAGGAGTGTGGGAATTTCCCCAAGCAGAGTAGGCTGCTGAGGAGGTTCTAACTGTAGGTTTTGTGTTGGTTTTGCCACTAGGTTTTTAGTCTTTGAAGGTAGCCCATGTTTAGCCCTGGTTATCGGTGATGATATTCTGTCTTCTTCAGTCGGGGCAGAATGTAAGCAGATGCAGCAATTAATGTGGCTGTCTGGCTATCGCTCACTGATGGCCTCTAGGGGAGAAGCCTTCACATTCTCAGTCCGCATCACCTGTTCTAGGATACAGGGTTTCGTCTGAAGTAGAACTTTCTGCTAAGAAAAAATAAGGTGTTTTGTGCCACTGTTATTCCAGTCAGACATGAGGGAGAACAGTGACAGGAGCATCCCAGGTAAATGCCCTTACTATGCAGTACTTTTGACCTCAGCACCATGAGTGAATGCCATGCTGAGTATCGCCTTAGTGACTCAGACTGACAGTCCTGTAGACATCTGGCAATGTTAGCAGGATGAAAGACATTGCTTTCTTGAATTACTTAAAAGCACTGGTTCTATTTTTTATAAAACAAAAGTATTGTTTAGACTCAGTAAGATGAGCAGTGCGTGTGTGAACATCACCCTGGTTGTGTGAGTGATAGAAACAAGCAGGTGCATAGGAAGTTACTGACATCCAGCCACCTGCTAGCCTGCTGCACTGCAGCCTGGGTGTCTGCATCTGCGAGGTGGATATACAGCAGAATCCACAGGGAGGGGGGAAGCTAGAGAATCTGCTGTAGTTGGCCTGGAAAGCAATCACCATCACACAGGATGCTGCAGGACATAGTTAAAATCCCAGAGACATCTGCCAACTCTCTCCCTTAGCTCTGTGCCCAAGTATCTAAGTAGGGCCACCCCACAGCACTGCTGAGTGGGGATGCCATTCTGCTCTGACACGGCCCAACATAGGAAGATCCTATCTTAAAAACGAAATAAGGAGGTATCAAATTATTTTTTTTTCCTAGACTGGTGGCTAGCCTTCCCCATTTATAAAGGAAAACAAAATAAACCCCTTTTGGGTTTACAGGTAGCAAGTGCCTGTAATGCCAGCCCTTGGTTTGCTGGGCAGACAGAGTAGACTAGATATAGTAGAACTCTTCCATTCCAGACCAGCCTAAGTGATGTGGAGAGCCTTATCCCAAAGACAGCTTAACATGAGTATTGAATTTTTCTAGAATTTTCTTGCTTTTCTTTTTTTTATCAATTTTAATGATGCAGAATCATTAACTCAAGTCCACATCCACAATATGTCAAAGCATGGCAGATATGGCCCATGTTACCCTCAATGTCCATGTGCAGGCCTCTGCTTGGTCCCCCAGTACTGTTCTTGCTCAGTCACTCAGCGACCCTGTCATAAACTGTACTTGGTTCTAAATCCACTGTTCACACCCATAGTTCTACAATCATACTAACGGAATTTACAGAAGAGAGAGAAGAGAATGGACAGGTGGTCACCAACCCCTCATCCCACCTGGTACAGGAGCTGCCCCTGTGCTCCTCTGAGGCCCAGCAGAATTAATAGTGTGTCCCAGTGACTGTTTGCCCTGCATGAGCTGTATTGGAAACTGACTGTGGGCCCTTAGAAGGAGTTTGGATGAAACAGTTGCTTATTCAATTTGTTTCCTAGTGTGGGGGCTGAGATTAGAATGGGGTAGTCACTCTTATCCCAGGATCTGGTCATCATGGCCCCACCTGAAGTTACCTGAGTTTTATTAAAATGTTTTACCAATATCATAACTCCTCTGAGTCATAAGCAGGCAACATTTAATCGAGACTCACATTACCAACGAGGGTAATTTCACTATGGCTGTTCATTTGTGTTTGGAGATGATATTATAGTATGAGTTTCAAAGCCTGTATTAGCTCTTTTAGAATGTTTATGACTAATTTTGTGTATTTTGTCCTCGGAGGACAATCACCAAGACCAGGCTCTTGGTTAAGAGCAGCTAATGACCCTGAGGCCACAAACCCAGGGAGCAGTAGCCATCCATAAGGCTTCTCAGGGGCACAAGTACAGTTACAACAAGAATGGCTAAAGTGGCCACTGCTCATGAGGGAAATACAGCCCTAAACATTGCTCTAGCCTAGCCAAGCTGGTCCATGTATATCCCAGCTTCTAGTGACATTCTCCGTCCCCTGAATTCCTCACTCTGAGGAGGCTGGACAGTGTCTCTATGTGGACTTTCTAGTCTCACTGAGAGTGAAGAGAGCTTAACTAGGATTGCTTCTGTGTTAGTGCAAAGGACCCATCCTGATAAATCAACCACGAAGGAGAGACATGCTAAGCAACTCTGAAAATTAACTCTACTCCCAAGTCCTTGCTAACTCTTTATGAAGTTGCTGGCATAAAAGGATGCTGATCGAGGGACCTGCAAGGAAAGCCCCCTGCAGGCAGATGAAGAGCTGACCCCAGTACCCTTTGGTGTCCCACATTTACCAGGGACATATCTCTGCCCTCAGACATGCCAAGCTCATTCTTCTCTCAAACTCCAGAAGCCTATGTAATAATTACAGGATAGAGGTGTTTGGCTTATAGTAGCTGCTATATATGTACCCTGCCAGAAATGTTTTCACAAAGCCCATCATCCCTACAGCCTTAGTGGTGGTTCTTGGGGATGCTGAGAATCTTGGTCAAATGCACAGGGAACACTAAACCACAGTTGGTATCCATAGCTACATATGGCTAGAAAGAGTGGTCAGCCTCTTAATGGCTCTACCAAAGGATCTGTCATTTACAGTAGCCAAGCCTGTCTTACCCCAGTGGATAGATGCCAGAGCAGTCATGAACAGCCTGTCAAAATAAGGTGATTCTCTCCTAAGGTCACCCCAATTCTCTGTTCATTCAAGCATGCACAGTGCAGAATGGGCAGAATCTGGGTTCTTCATGAATAACCCTGATTTCTGTGTGTGTAAAGATGGGTGGTTGGGACCAGTTGTGTGTTCATCATCCTGAATACAGGGGGTAACCACACTGTCCTCTCTCTCTCTGCAGCCAAGCGGTACTGCAAGAATGCCAGCCCCAGCAGCAGCACCACCAGCAGCTATGCACCCAGCAGCAGCAGCAACCTCAGCTGTGGCGGTGGCAGCAGCGCCAGTAGCACTTGTAGCAAGAGCAGCTTTGACTACACACATGACATGGAAGCTGCACACATGGCAGCCACGGCCATCCTCAACCTATCCACACGTTGCCGTGAAATGCCACAAAACCTGTCCACCAAGCCACAGGACCTGTGCAGTACCCGGGTATGTCCAGCGCCTCAGCCGTGTCCCATGGGCACTGGCTATGGGTGTGTTCACTGCCAGCCTACAGCGCTGTGCCTCAGAACAGGGGACAGGTGTCTTGGTCTCCTCTGGCTCTAGCTTGTGTCTGGAATGTAAAGACAGCCATCCTCCCTGGCATTTATGGTATCTCAGCTTCAGGGTACACAAAGCCCAGGAGAGGCACAGCTTGACATCCGAACAAGAAGGTTTGGTGGTAGCATTGTTAGATAAATGTGAGGCTATCCCTTTACACAGGACAGGGAAACGAAGAGGTAACATCTGACTGCACTCTTGATAGTCTGTGGTCTCAGCCAATACTGTTAGCTCAGTGGTACCCTCAGTGCTACAAGATTCAAGAAGGGTTTCTATTGTGTAATTTTTCTTATTTGTTAAAGAAATCTATCTTTTATTATCTTTTTATTTTGAGATTATAATACAGTCATACACATTTGTGTGTGTGTGTGTGTGTGAGTGTGGAAAGAAGCAGGTAAGCTGTGGTTCGTGGACAGAGATGAGAAGATAAATAGAAGAGGTCTCTCCTCCCACCATATTGGCTCTTATCAGTTGGCCCACTTAGCATTTCTGGCACTCAGAGCAGAAGAGGAAGCCATTAGGATGGGCAGGGAAGAGAGTGAGCTGTCTCTCCGGGGCTCTAAGCAGGAAGTAGTGTAGCAGAGGTAGAACCTGCACACTGACCACCTGCCTTCTATGTATCTGGCGGCCCCGGACACTGACTGGAGTGGTCATAAATCACTGTAGTTTATGTAAGTGGAGAAAGGTCAGCCACCTTATAGTTGTGAGTGCTTTCACACCTTTGGTATTTTACTCTGCAGTATGAGACAGTGTCAGGGGACCTGCACTCTGAATGGTCATCTGGACAACTGAAGTGCAAGGCTAGTACAGAAGCCCTTACTCCCCGTTAGAATAAATACAGGAGCCTCCCCTAGGGTTGTAATGGTTCCAATATGCTGCATCTAAACTAGTATCAGAGCTTAGAGTCTGGGGTGCTTTGTCAGAGTTCTGGCAGAACAGCACTGAAAATATATGAAGGGCACAGCTCCAAGGACAGGACCTTGTCCCCTGTGTCCTCTCCCTGCCCAACCAGAAGAAGAGGTGGCTAGACATCAGAGGCCACAGGGTCACTCCAGCTGGAGGTCACATTTTTCCTTGAGACAGTGAAGTCTCCTGGGAAGACGGAGGGCTGTTTTGACCGTGCTTGTCCACTGCCCTCTTAATACCTTCACTCCTCTGCCTGCAAAGCAGACTTTGAAGAGCTTGGCCTCTTTCAGTGCATCAGTGTGTGAGTGTGCGCACGCACGTGGTCTCACTTTTTATATTTTACCCATTTGACTCAGTTGCAGATATGAGGACACCCAGATCAACTCAGAACTGAATCCCTATGAGGTCTTGGGAACTGTAGTGTATATCACCTGTTTTGAAATGGAAATCTCATGGCACCAGATTTAAAGTCAGAAGGAAAATACTAGTTCCTTCTTCATCCTTCCATCAACATTCAAGTATTTTCCTTTTCCTTCTCACTCACTTTGTAATGATTGCCATCAGTGAAATGAGGGGAAAAATTTAAGATGATATATTATGGATGTATGATAGGGTGGAGGATGGATCTAGGAAGGATGGATGGATGGGTGAAGGATAGATGAATACATGGATGAATAGATGATAAATGGAGGGAGGGAGGGGGTGGCTAGTTAGATAGATGATAAGTGGATGGGTATATAGATAGATGATAGATGCATGGATGGGTGAATCTTCCAAGCAGTTTCTGTGGGAAGCTTGTGGTAGCAGGCTTGCCTACAGACCATGATGGTTCACTTGTGTGTTAGTGGGGAGCAGGGAATGGAGGGTTATGCTGGCGAAGTCAGTCATAGCTAATGGTCATCCTGTCAGACCTTCTGTGTGATACATCTTTCTTTCAGCAGAACCCAGACATGGAAGTGGATGAGAACGGCACCCTGGACCTGAGCATGAACAAGCAGAGGCCTCGAGACAGCTGCTGCCCAGTTCTGACCCCCCTGGAGCCCATGTCCCCCCAGCAACAGGCAGTGATGAGCAGCCGGTGCTTTCAGCTGAGTGAGGCGGATTGCTGGGACTTGCCTGTAGACTACACTAAGATGAAGCCTCGGAGGGTGGACGAGGATGACCCCAAGGAGATCACCGTAAGTCCTTCTCCTTGACCCTTCCTGTATTTGATATGAGCCCAAGAGGAGCCTTGGTGAAGAAGAGATTTTGTGCACTATTCAAGAGAAGGTGCATTTTTTCCCTAAATCTTACCGTTAGCTGACAGGGACATGGAGAACACTTTTGGTTGACTTGGGAAATGTATAATTGACATCAGTTTGAGAGAAACAGAGTATGGGGTCCTTCAAATTTTAGTTTCTAATAAGTGCACATCATTACAAATGGTTTCTCTACAAAATACAGAAAAAAAATATTTTATTTTCAAACAAAACAGTGCTGCATTTTCCTGGGGCAGTATAGACAGGAAGGTCAAGAGTTCTAGGCCTTTGGTCATGCCTCAAAGGGATGTGCCAGATTTTGACTCCCCAGGGGAAGCCTTACCCTCTCGGAGGAGTGGACTAGGTCGTGGTGGGGGGAGTGAGGGGAAGTGGGATTGGCATGTGAAATGAGAAAATATTGTTTTAAAAATAAAAAGGAGAGTTCAAGGCTAACTTGAGCCATATAGTGAGGCCCAAGTTAATTAAATATAAAATAAAATAAAAACGTATTAACTGTATGCTACAAATAAGCTCAAGCATCCAGGCTGTACTTCTTGCTAGTGTATCTTAGAATAGTCCTCTAACTCCATGTTGTGGCAGCGTTTCTAAGATTCTCATGTTAGAGCGTATGTTTTCAAGTAGTGTGGACTTTCAGATTAGTTACTACTGTCCACTGGACAAGACCATTTCCTTCTTGTGTGCTTATGGGTATTGCGTATACAGGTACACCCACACACAGAGCTCAGAACAGGAAGTCAGGTGTCTTCCTGTGCCACCTTTTTCCTTGCTGCTTTTAGACAGGCTCTCTCATTGAACAGGGTGCTCACCATTGACTTGGCTGGCTTACCAGTGGACTCCTGGTATTCTTTCTCCTTTCCCAATGCTGGAGTTACTGGTACCCACAACCATACCCAGATTTTTACAAGGGTGCCTGGGATTCAAACTTGGGTCCTTGTGCTTACAGGGCAAGCTACTCTTACACACTCAGCCATCTCCCCAGCCCCAAGAATTTCTTTTCTTTACTGGAGACTTTCTTCAATTCTCAAATCTGAAAGTTCTGACATCTTTATACATTGAATAAAAATATGAGTTTCTCAAACCAACACTGCATTACACTGGAAAAGGAACAGGTAGAAAGAGAGGCCTTCTCTTGAGCCTTTTGTTTTTTGTGCTGTGTAGTCCTGACTGACCTCAAAGTCACGTGGTCTCCCTGCCTTCCCCTGCTGAACACTGGAGATAGAGGTACTCACTGTCTCACTCAGCAGAGGCTCTGCTTAGTTCCTTTTCTATTGTTGCGATTAACATGGCCAAGGCAACTTATATTTGAGAGTGGTAAAACGGCCTTCCAGTTTCAGAGAGTTAGAGTCCGCAATGGCAGAGAGAAGGTATGGCAGCAGGAACAGCTAAGGGCTCACATCTCAAACCCCAAGTAGGTTTCAGAAGTACACTGAGGGTGCCCGGAGGTGTTTCCAGCGTCAGAGCCCACCCCAACTAATACACCACCTCCAACAAGGCCTCACTAATTTTTTCCAAACAGTTCTACCTCCTGGTGACCAAGTATTCCAATCTGTGATCCTTTTTGATTTAAACCACTTTAGGTTCTTACCTTCAGTCTTTAAACTGAATTATATGTGAGTAGCAAGGTAAATTTAAGCATTCTTTTTCCCACAGTTAAGCCATGACAATCAAGAAAGAAATGGTAGTTGAATCCCTGAATTTATTTTAATTAAAATTAAGCCTCCCTCCAGTGACAAAATACTCTTCATCATAGACTGTCTCAGAAGTAAACTTGCCTGTCAGCTTGTAGCATGGACTTAGGAAACATGTATGCTGAACATTGTCCTTTCTAGAAAAATCTAGGTTACTGTGTGTAGACTCATCAAAAGTAGCTACTTTATTTAAAAAAAAAATTAAATTACAACATTAACATAATTGGTCTTCCATTGCCTGACATAGAAAAGTACATGTAGGTGAAACACTGACCAGTGACTGGAAAAAAGTCTACTCTACAATGTTTTCAGGAAGAGCATTAGATTAACAGGTCCCTCTTAATAAAAGGTGTCCCCTACACTAGCCACGCACATACAGCTCTCCCCTGGACACCAGATACAGAAAAGACCAGGTGACATGATTTCTCTGACTTCTAGAACATCCACTGGTCCTGAGCAAGAGCCCTGTAACGTTTTAGCGGCCCGTGGACAGTTCAGCTTGTGTTTTCAGAAGGACCCCTTATCACAACAAAGATACATTTGGGTTTTAAATATAAGAGAGTCAAAAGAACAGGCAGGGAAACCCTGTAGCCTGTGAACCTTCATCTAGTGCGTGTTCTTGCTCTGTGTGGCTCTGAAACTGTGTTCTGTCTACAGCCAGAAGACTTGGACCCATTCCAGGAGGCCCTGGAAGAAAGAAGGTATCCAGGGGAAGTGACCATCCCAAGCCCCAAACCCAAGTATCCCCAGTGCAAGGAAAGCAAAAAGGACTTAATAACGTAAGCATATGATAAGGTGACATGCTGGCTCTTACCTCTCCCTTCTCTGGGTTACTTTTAAAGCACAGACATGTATATGCCTTGCCGTGTGAGCATGCACATTCGCGGCCCAGGAATCTCCAGCTGCCAGTTGAGCAGAGCCAGAGGCTGCCTTGCACCTGCTTGTTCTCAATGATGCTCTACCGTGTGAAGGCGTCATTTCATTTAACCCTGTGCATTTTGCAGCTTTCTCCAGGGTGCTTAACTCCCCTTGCAGACATTGCAGCTAAACTGGAAACAATGAAATTTTTAAAGCTTTTTTTTAAAAACATACTTACTATTCTGGCTGTCTTTGTTTTTGTTTGGTGGCAGATGTCCAACTCCAGGGTGTGATGGGAGTGGTCATGTGACTGGTAATTACGCCTCACACAGAAGGTGTGACTTCATTTTTCTCATGGTGGATTCTGTCTTTTCAATTTATTGTTTTCAGCTTACCTCAACAATGCTGTCAAAGTACAAATGTTGAATTCTGTGTCAACCCTCTGAGTGCTGTATGCTGCCCTTCAAAAACATACTAAGTTACACAATGACTGTTAGTCTACTAAATTTTCAAAATTCTTCTCAAAAATTTAAACCAAAGAGAACATGTATTACGTGCGATTTAAAAAATGATTATTAACAGAAATGCTTTCTTAAACATATGCTCAGTGACATTCATAGTTAATCAGTATACAGCACTTGGCCCATTGCTCTTCTGCATTGAACTTTTTTATTTTCAACTTTGTGTTGTGTTGTTCGGGTGCTGCTGCTGCCTAGGGGTTCACTCACTGTGTCTCCTGGCCTGTCTTACAGTCTGTCTGGCTGCCCTCTGGCGGACAAAAGCATTCGAAGTATGCTGGCCACCAGTTCACAAGAGCTCAAGTAAGCATTCATGACACTAACTAACTCTCCTTCAAAATCTCTTTGTTATTAGTTCACAGAAAGTAGTGTGCTGCTTGCCAGTGAGTTGTCTGTGGTATTTGTTTCTGATTCAGTTGGATAGTCTCTGGTCCTTTCCTATCATAACCTTTCTATCCAGAATCTCTTGTCTTCAGGAAAAGTGTTTCAGAGTTACTCAAACTTTCAAAAAATTAGTGTGTAATATTTTAAAAAATGGATGCCAAGGGCCTGGTAACAGCCTGTTCCGTAAACTTGTAATCCTCATTGTAAACACTGCTCAGGCCAGTGTTGGTTCAGCTCAGGTTCTGTGTGGTGTTGGCACATACACGCTCATGTACAGGTGTGCATGCACACACACAGCAGCCATAGCTCCCTTTTCTCTGCTCCATATTGTAACTTTTAAACATAAATCTGGCAAAACTGTGAGTCCAGTGCCAGCACCAGCAGACTGAGGCTGTTTTCCTTTGTAATCAAGTGTATGTTGAAACTCAGTTCCTAGCAGACTGTAGAAGGAGCCAGTGAAATGTGAAAAGAGCAGTGAGACCTCTCCACTCCAGTCAGGGTGGACTTGGTGGTGTCTGTAGGGATAAAAGGCCAAGCCTGGCAGCACAGCATGACAGCCACTGCCCCTCAAATGATAGCCTTTGCTCTCCAGACCTTTCCTGCCGGTGTATCCTGTGTGTGGCTCTGAAGATGCTGTCCCCTCCCGACCATCCCGTTCCCTCGCTCCATGTCTGTAGTTCAAGGGTGACCTGAGTGCAGCCTTCTCTTTGACACCCATGTCATCTTTTTCAGGCTCCCTGTCCAGGGCCCTAGTGCCATAGACCAGCTGCTCATGTTCAGTGACTTCCTGAACTAGCCCTCCTGTCGCACGCAGGACTCTTGCCTTGCCGCTGTCTTCCTGAGCTAACTGTAGGCAGCTGGAGGGTCTCCTCTTGTCTGGCAATCTAGCAGCGCTTGAATCAGTGCCTGGCGGACACATAGCTTTAGCACATCAAAGCAGCAGCCTTAGGAGCAGCAACCCGGCACAGTTTGCTCGGGCATCTTTTGTCACGGCTTCAACCCACATTTCCCTCATGGTCAGAATGTGACCAACTGCACTTGGATCTTGGTCAGCACATCAGGATGTGGCAACCTTCTTTTGACTTCCTTGATGAGGAGCTCTTTGCAAAGCCTGGTGTGTCTCCAGTTGCAGCCGCCTGTAAACAAGAAGCTGCTTCCGTGCTGCTTGTGCATTCTGACTGCTTAGTGTCTTGAGACCTGAGACCAGAACATTCTCTGACAGTGTAGTCAGATGACATGGGCTTCCATCTTTTAGGGTTGGGCTTGATGTCTTCGGTCACCTAAACTTTCAGGCAGACCTGCTGTTTCTCCAGACCACAGTTCTCTTTGTCTCATTTCATCTTGGGAGATGGCTGGTCCTCATCAGCACCCTCAGGGAAGGAACTGCACTCACATCTTCCAGACAGCATAGTTTTGGCCAGCGCCCTTCTTTTCCCTTCCTGCCAGGAAGCTGTACCATCCAGAAAAAGATACCTTTGCCTGGTTTGGGATCATCTAAAAGTTATACACACATTTTCTATGTTTGTCTTTGCAAATAAGTCCTTTTTGGCTTGACTCTGCTGGGAAATCTAAACTTGACTAATTTCCTAAAATGGTTTGTTTCTGATAATGGAACTTCAAAACTAAAGATTTGGTGTCTTCTTTAAAGAGACTAAAATTTGAACAGCCACTGACAATTTGTTCTCTACACACAAAATAAATAAATACACCGTCTTGATAGCCCTTTCTCTCAGCCTTTTCATTGATGCCTCTTAGTCAGTCGCTTCCTTGTAAAAGTCAGGAGAGATTCCCGGGGGAGCTTTCTCAAACAGCGCAGCATAAACATCCTCTTTTGGTTGTGCTGCAGCCTAGAGTAACTCACGACTCTTGCAGTGTGTTGATGTTCCTGAAAGCCTCGGTCAGTTTGTGCAGTAGCATCTCACCTGAATGAGAACTGAGCTGAGTCCCTGATTGTTATTCATATAATACCCATCATCAATCATGATGTTAGCAAGTGGCTTTCAGTGACTTCAGCTACCACGTGGAAATTTTTAGAAATTTTCCTGTTATCATTTCCAATACTTAACATTTTATAGGTGACCCTTAGAAGAACATTCTTAGCCATGAACAAGAAAGTTGTCCAAAAACCCATTGACCAAACTCTTAGACTTCATAAATAACACTTTGCTCATTCATCTAGAACAGTCACTGTGGGATAGTTTTAAGAAGAGTTCAGTGATTTTGTGCTTAATTATGTACAATGTGTAAACTAAAATGTATTAAAATGATACATGAATCTTACCAACACTATGGAATAGATCCTGGATCCCTTGTGTCTCTGTTAGGTATATGACATGTCCTGGGGGAGGAAGACTTGAGGGCCAGAGAAGGGACGAATTTTCAGCCAAGTACTTCCCTACCCACCCTGGCTGTGAGATTGCAGCCACAAGTAGCAAGGTATCAAACTAAGAAGTAATGTGACTTTTGAGGGGCACTATCCTAATGTAAAGTCTGATTCTAAGGTCCTTTTCTCCTTTTGAAATGTCATTTTCTAAAATTCTCCAAAGAGTGTGCATTAAAGGCAGCCACAGCATTGTGGCCTCTTTGAAGGGCCATAGCCTCCTGGCCAAGGACCCTTTCCTGTATGGGAGTCATGTTCGATGGCAGACACTGGCAGATGCTGACCTATATGGGTCTTAACCATCTCAGTAATCAATCTAAGTCAAGAAAACCAGCTTCAGACAGGCTTGCTTACAGTGGCCTCAGTTCTATTAGACAGGCTTCTATTTATACTTGAGCCAGATATAGGAGAATCCTAGAATTAGAGTGTTCGTAGTTTGCTTTAGCCATGCACACACAGATGAATATACAGATCAGTAACTGATAAGCTGAAGTCGATTACTCAGGGAATGGCTCACTGTAAAGCAAAACAGCCTGTCTCCTCTCTGCCCCTCTGATGTGTGTTCATGCTGTATGGGAAACCCTCCTCAATATAACTCCTAGGATCTAGTAGAGGGCCATAGGAGAGTTCATACCTGACAGTTATCCTTGGGAATTCCCTGTCCTGAATCTTCTTCCCATTTTCTCTTCTTCAGGAGTGTGGATGGATGGGATGAGTAAGTGGGAACATGGATCTCAATCCCCTGTAACTACACACACACACACACCAAATAAACAGTGTACGGTGGTCTATGCTGCACAAACCTCAGAGTTCTTCAGATGGAGCTTAGCTCTGCTGTGTGTTTGTACATCACCTCCAACGCAGGTTATAGTAAATTTCACAGTAAAAAAATCAGATTCAGGTAATACAAGGAAAGCAGGCATCATGATCAAAACATACTTTTTTGTGAAGAACATGCTGGAACATGAAATTCAGAGCATAGACCCTCTAGCCCAGAAGAAAGTCATCTTTTCTTTGCCTTAGTTTCTTTATCTGTAGCCTAACCTAGCACTGGGGTAGCTCAGAAGGTGTTTAGTGGATGTCAGTATAACCAACAGTGTCAACGTCTAGCAGTCTTTAGAAAGCATCCAGCAGCTGGGACTCAGAAAAGGAGAAATGAACAAGGTCATCAATGTTTCTGAAATGGCAGCATCCCTTGCTCTTTGAAAAGTCACTGAAATAACCTCATTCACTCAAAGGTATTTGGGGAAAACTTAGTGCCATATTCTCTAAGGCATGTGATAGCACACGCCCATCATCTCAGCCCTCTGCTGAAGCAGGAAGATGGCAAATTCAAGGCTAGCCTGGGCTACACAGTGAGAGCCTGTTAAGAAGAGGGGGAGAAAGAGGAAGATGATGATGATGATGATGATGAGATAATAGAAAAGAAGGGGTGGGACACTGAGCATGAACATGGTTAGATAGTGTGGGGAAGTGGGAATCTGCAAGCATGCATGGAATGTCCTGCGGTGATATATCTAACATGTCCACGCAGTGTGTTCTGTAAGCCTCTATATCATGGCTTTCTATCATGATTGCTTCTCTTCGCAGAATGAATCATCTTAGTTCTCGTATGTTCCTCATTTAACTCTTATACCCAAAGCTTCCCCAGCCACCTTGGTCCACTGCCATCCATGTCCCGAGATCCCAGGGTTCCTTTGGAAACAAAGACAGTCTAGAACCCCCTGAGCTTCCTCTACTGAAGTACAAACCATGAGAAGCCATTTTCAGGGATTACTCAGAATGGGTAAAATTCTTTCATTCATTCCTCCATGCATTTGTTCAATCATTTCAAAACTATTCAATTCATACCTAGAGATAAGACCCAAGTTGTACCACCCCTGCCTCAGGAAGTCATGTTCATGTACTCACAGCAGACCAAAGGGGGTCATCAGAGGATAAGCCAGACAAGAGAAGGGCTACTAGGTTATTGGGACAGGCCAAAATGTACCACAAAATCAGGTGAACTTGGGCTACATTTGTGGGTTAGTCAGGGTAACAATGAATTTTGGGGATACATTCATACCAAGAAGTGTGTATCATGGGCACAAAATCTATGCTACCACAAATAACTTGCCCAACATAGCGAAGAGGATACAGCTAGAGATGACAACTAGAGATGACAGCAAAGATGTAGTCCATGGTAAGGTATCGAGTTAGACATTGTCCTAAGACTCGACAGGGATTAGCTGGCAGAGCCACAAGCAGTACCTGGAGTGGTAGTGTCCAAAGCCTGAACTCTAGCAGAAGGATAGAGGAGGCTGTGTCCACAAGAGATTCCTGGAGAGGGTTTGGGAAAGCCTAGAGTTTGGACCCAGTAGCTTCCCTGCTTTCTGGTCCCCCACAGAACGGAAAGGGAGCATGTGTTACAAAGATGACTCCTGTCTTCCAGCACTCCTACCATGCCTGGGTTTGCAGCCACCTGGCCAGGGCATGTGTGGCCATCATGAATCAGAATGTGGACCAGTGTTGAAACAATGATGCTCACAGGAAACCAGCA